AATAACATCCAGGTGTCTTGTTACTACTAGGTACATGTAATCAAGACATATGAATGTAGGGGAGGTACAAAGTATTACATCATAAACGATGTCACTGCATACAGTACTGCAAAAACATTCAAACTCTAAGTTTTGTCACTCATTTCCGTCGGTGTTCTTATAACCACGTAATTTACGAGAGAGAGGCACCTGAATAGATTTTAATGAAATTTGGGGAGCATTATGTTGTGGTGCCACAGAAGATAATGCTGTTTTATAGGCGGAGTAGTGATGGTCAGAAAACACAACATCAAACTGCTTACAAACTACGTTTTCGTATGTTACTCAAGTTCCTGCTACTTCTGGGTATACTAAAAAAAAAATCTTGTTGGATTTAAGGTTTTGAACAATTACCATTGTTCTCCACAGTTTTCAAGGATTATGATCGCTTAAATTTTTGAAACATGACTTATCTGTACTACGAACCATCAAAAACTATAACTATATTATTATGCGCCTACGGAAACGTTTTTCAGCAGTTCAGAATGTATACGTAGGTAAAAGGAGTTTGAAAATAGTTGTATAGGAATGCATGACATTTCCTGCTTGTATTACGCTTCTGAGATTCATTTTCTTATGAACGGAAATGAACGGAAGATCGTGCATTTAACATTTGCAGGTATTATTTAGAATTATGAGCGCATTATTCATGAGATTCTTGTCATTTAAATTTTTTGTTACTACCAAGGCCAGAAGCTTCTTAACGATACATCTCCCACTGATACCAAAGAGACAACACTTACAACCCTCAATTTTCAACCCCTACAAACATTTTTCCGAAAGTGACCAGGATGCTCTGAAATGTAAAAAAATAAACAAACAGGTTTGAGCATTTTTTTCATTTTTTTGCCTCAAACTACGCCGCCAAAACTACAACGCTTTTCGTTCCTGACATAATAGTAACATTGTGTAAAAATTTCATCAATATCCGAGTGGCACTTTCCAAGTTAAAGATGGGCCAAGGATTAGCGAACAGACAGACGGACGGAAATGAGTGACATAGTTTGTTTGTGGTGTCATGTAACACCTAAAAACATATCTCATTTTCGAAATTTCTCGCGATTACAATACTTCCTCACCAGTGGTGTAGGAAGTAAAACAGTTTAAGATCATCTCCGTTTATTGATTATCCATGTTTTATCGAAATCGGAATGGCATTTTCCCAGTTGGAGATAGATGATAGATCGATGGCTTTCTGTGAGGAATCGACATGAATATGTACCTGTGATTGAAGCATTATATCTAAGTAGCAATTAATACTTTCCTCTGAAAAGTATGGGAAGTAAAAAAACATATAATGTGATTTTACGTAAATTGAAACTATCCAACATGTACAGAGAGCAACACCTGCCGAAACTTTCTATTCCTTCAGTCTGATTAATCGCCAAGAAAAAAGATAAGTACGAAATACTTCCAGCAACTTGAAACATTTAATAATCAATGTTACTGACAACGTTTAACGGCTAAATGAGTTTGCGAAACGTCGCCGTTCAAGCGATTTATGAACTCATTGCAAACAATGATGATGTAGGCACTGCTGTTGGACAAAGTTTACAGATTACGAATAGTTAGGACACTTCGGACTTCGCAGGTAAATGTGGCGAAGACCTTGCATTCGTGGGGATCCAACAAACGTGTTTATGAAAAAATCGAAGTGGAACATTTTTTACACGAATGCGAGATTTTCGCCTCCTCTAGGTAACTTCCTCCAGAAATCAGACAGGCTTTTTTCAGATTAGTGGTGATCAGAGGTACTTGGTACCGTGTCCTTCAATACCTGTCTCTTAAGTTGCTTCGCTGACGGTAAGTCAACCGGAGAAAAATAATGGTTTGACTATATGATCTTATAACTCGAGAAGATATGCTTACTTCGAATTTCGTATGCCTTTACGTATGACGTCACTCGGTGACAAATGTTACACTTGTTGGTACGAAATGCATTGTATTAGATCGTTTTCTTTTCAATATTTGGAGTATTTGCTCAAGATTTTTCAGTATCATCGATTTTACATGATCATGTCAGTATTATACAGGGTGTTTCAAAACTTATCCCACAAACCTTAACCACATATGCACTGTTACCAAAGAAGTTGATTTCTAAAAAAAAATGTAATAAAATTCCTACAGAAATTAAGTTATAAACCTGAGTTTCAATAATAAATTGAAAAATAAATAACTAAAATTGTAGCAATTATTGTACAAAACAACTGACGAAAACAAAATACCAGGAATTTTTTGTTTTTTCATACTGATAAGAACCTGTAAATAAGGTTTCATCTGCATCGTGGGTGACCTGAATGAAGAACGGTCGAGTTTTGTGAAGTTAAATAAGAAAGTATTTTGCGAGTTTATATTTTTAGTTATTTATTAATAAAAATGGCACATGTGTACACTAATGATGAGTTAGTGGACATTGTTTTAGCGTACGGAGAAGCAGGACAAAATTCGCGAGCGGCTTCTCGTTTGTATGCACACCGATTTCCGAATAGACACATACCACATCACGAAACATTTAGTTCAATTGTTTTACGTGCATGTGCTAGTGGAGATTTGTGCCCCAGACGTGGAGTGGATGGGGGTTGGGTTCGCCCACGTTTCAAATAGCCGAAGACGAAATTTTTTTATTATCTCGATTTCTGTAGGACTTTTATTAATTTTTTTTTTGTGAAATCACCTTCTTTCGTAACAGTGCATACGTGGTTAAAATTTGTCGGATAGGTTGTGAAACACCTGTATAGAATGTTTTATTTATATTTTGATTTTTGCCAATACATTACTTTTGAAAAATTGACAATCGAAAAGCGAAAGGTTCTAAATAACTTAGGACGTAATCACTGAAAATGCGCTTGTAGCTACTCAAAGTAAAATTTCTTTAGAGCTCCAAATAAAGGGATTTTTACTTTTTATTGAAGTAAATTGTTTTCAAATGATAACCTTTGCGCATCATTCATATATATATATATATATATATATATATATATATATATATATTAATTTTGTATATCAACTTTTTATACAGAAAAAGAATAGGGAACAAGATACTGTATATAATTCGTCTTTTTAATTTTGTGTAAAATGTTAGGTATGTGTAAATGATTTTTTTAATATTTTTTATGAGTAGGTCTTTATTATACAATTTTCATAATTTTCCTCTTCTCAATTCTGAATTTTTATTTTATATCTTTAATATCCAAATTTCAAGTTACATTTTACATCTAAAAAGATGCTTGTGATCTGCACTTACACTAACTGTCATGGCTAAGTCCATTAAAGACGTTAAATAATTTTTGGTCAATTTTACCACGATGACACTGCGTTGAAATTGTCGCTAATATGGACGAGTTCATTACATTAAATTAGAAATTTTCAATTTGTGTTGTTGATAACACTTCAGAACATGTTCGCAAACTTGTTTGTTCTTTGCAAAGCTAAAGAAACACCAATTCGAAACGTCTTTGCTTTTCTTGTTGTTGTTGCTTGAACAACCCACCACTGCACAGTACAGAATTTAAATGTTGATTCGCTCTTTTTTAATGATACTTCACACCGAGACCCATATAAAACTAAACGTTTGTCACCTGTATCTGGGAAATTTTGTCACCGAGTTTTGTCACGCGTGCAAAAGCCATGCTTGTTTATCTTCTTGACAACAGTATCATGGTTTGGTCACTGAGTGATCCTTCTATTTGTATTCCGTATACCTTGTGCTGAACTTCTTGCCGGGCAGGTACCAGGTAGACAACAATATAGGTTGTGTCGTTATATATCTGTGACTCATAAAACGAAAGCTATTTGACTAATTAGTTTGGTTTGTGTGAAAGCTGATTTTGCAAGGAAATATTTTTGTATGCATCGATTATGCAAATTGCAAAGCTATGTAGATGTAGGTAGAATCACACCAATGTATGAGAGTAAAGTACACTCACGAAAACTGTTAAGCGGCAGAGCAAGGTACGACACAATTGACCCGAAGGAAATTAAAAGTTGAAAAACGCACTGAAAATTTGAAAAAATGAAAACGGTGCCAAGTAGATTGACTTAGTTATTCCCCACGGATTTGAGTACGATTATCCGCATATAGCAGTTTCAAATTCAGTTCCGCTATGTTAATCGTTAATTACACCTTGAAGGGGGCATCTCACAAAAGCATCACGAAGGCATCTCAGAATGGTGCCCAGAAATACGGAAAACGTACTTAGCTATATGGCACAGAATAATCTCGATACACTTGGCAACATCGCTCGTTACTGTGTATGTGGAGGCGATCTTACCATAATCGCTCTTAAGGTTGTGGATATCAATGAGATAAGTATGGACCGATATCCGTATGAATGTACTACATAAACCCGATGTCACACTGGTCTATCTTACACAGGGTGAGCACTGAAAGGACAATTTCGCACCATCTATTCCAAAAACTGCAACGCTCCATGTTTCGAGGAGGGCTAACTGACACTTTTTGTTTAAACTTCAGCGATGCCAGCCCCCTGAATTTAGTGTTCTATTAGCAAGTTGGCTTTCCTGGAAAGTATATTAAATGCAAGAGGCATTGATGTCTTATTATCAAATGCTTCATTATTCGATCAAACATCAAACACGTCAGTGGAGTGCTTGAAAAAGTAGAAATATATAATTTATAATTTAATAACACAAGTCGACATAATTTTGGTAACATCGTTGAGATTGCGTATTTTGCGTTTCATGAATCAGGAAGTTATTAAAACGCTTTTTCCCAGCAATGGCTTAGCACGTCCCATTTTCAAGTACCTACTCTTTTTTATAATGCGATCTGTGAAATCATAGTTACCTGCCTTAGGACCGGAACGCACAACAAGACCGCAGAGGGGTTATTATTCCAGTATTGTACGAGTTTTATTGTTTTCTGCAGTTTAGTTGGTTTCTGTCTCGTGTACTGTACAGTCAAGTGTTTAAGTAGATTTTGATGTTTTTTATATTTTAAGTGCCAAATTGGGAATCAAGATAAAAGTTCGGCTCTTCATGTTTGCTGTGTGAGTTGTCACGTAAATTTAGTGCAGTGGATGTATCGCAAGAAAAATTCTATGCCGTTTGCTGTTCCTATGGTGTGGAAAGAACCTACTGACCATGTAAGTGATTGTACTTTTGCATTACTAAAACAGAGCCAGGAACAACCGGTACCGATAGCGCCTTTAAACCTGGTCATCGTGTCTCCCGGTGATTCTAATTCTTCCTCAGAATCTGATCCACAACTTCCTGAGAACAGCAGTTGTGACCCAACATTTTTAACAACTGCTACCAGTGAACCTCACTTAATAACTGAGAATGGATTAAGTGACTTGATACTAGGATTGTCAAAACAAAAATCGGAACATCTTGATTCCATACTTCAACAGTGGAACTTGTTAGATAAAAAAGCAAGTATTTCATGTTACCGAAAGCGGAATGTAACATTATCAAGTTTTTTCGCTATGTATCTGTTGATATTAATGGTTTAATGAATGAGCTTAGTATGGAACATGATCCTAGCGAGTGGCGTTTATTCATAGATTCGTCGAAATACAGCCTAAAAGCAGTCCTGGAAACAAAAAACCATCTATTTCTTTTAGCCCATTCAGTGACAATGAAAGAAACCTAGGACAACTTAGCAACCATATTAAATCGTATTAAATATGAACAGTATCAGAGGAATATCTGTGGAGATTTAAAAGTCATAGGTATATTGCTAGGACTTAAGGGGGTTTTTACAAAGAATTGCTGTTTTTTGAGTCTAGGAGACGGTAGGGCAACAAAAGAACACTACAGTAAAAAGGATTGGTCTCATAGAACTTCTGTTAACCTGGTACTTCAAATATTGAATATGCTCCCCTTGTTAACCCCATAAAGGTGCTGCTACCGCCTCTCTATATTAAGTTTGGACTTTGTCAAAGCCATGGATAAAGAAGATAGTGGTTTCCAGTACATAAGAGAAATATTTCCTCAACTAAGTGATGCAAAATTAAAAGAAGGCATATTTATTATCTCCGTTTTCAAGAACGATTAAATGAAAAGGAATTGGCAGCTTGGACGTGTGGTCTACAAAAAAGATGAAGACTATAAAAGCCTCATAGATGAACTGTTGAAAACCTATGAATTACTAGGGTGTCGCATGTCTCTAAAAATATATTTTTGCACTCCCATTTGAATTTTTTCCAGGAAAATTTGGGTGCAGTAAGTGACGAACAAGGAGAGAGGTTTCACCAGGACATCAGGACGATGGAAACAAGATACCAGGGACGCTGAAACTCATCTATCATGGGCGACTACTGTTGATTTTTAACAAGGGATGATGCTACAGAACATAAAAGGAAAAAGTAAACGTTTTTGTCGCTGTATCAGATATATTGTGCCATATATTTTGTATTCACATAACAACCAATCCTCAGTAATGTTTTTGCATAGATCCCACATGTTTCATATGCTTATATTAAATTTATATATGAAATTGTAAAAATATGTCGTCTCCTCTTTTTCTCCTTATAACAAAAAAACAACTGTACGTGCTACAGTAACTGGCTTATCATTTTCGGATTTACGACTGCAAAATACTTCTAACATACCTATTTTCATCAATGTTACTTAATAAACATGTAAATTTGTTGATCAGTGTAATAGCTTCCCTAGAATGACTTACATCGAATGCAAATTAGGCAATTTAAGCTGGTTTGGTGATTTGCACAACATCATAAATGATCGTATGGAAACTAATTTGGTGGCACCTTATGGCATAATTAATGAAAAACGGAAAAAAACTAATATTTCTAGCTACTTACATCTTTTCTATCGAGCAGTTTACATCTGTATCTTATCAAATGAGTGCTTTTTACTAGAGGTTACCAAAGAATTCCACAACAATATCATAACACTGTTTGTTCCAAATACACTAAAGCCGGAAGAGTTGCCATACGACGATATTTGAACAAGGCATTTCAAAACGTGATTATTATGTTTACAAAAATATCTCTTTTAGTACGGTAAATGATATATCACCGCTTGTATATACTGAAAATGGAAAATTTATTTTATCAAAGATAAAGTTGTATCAGTTTAAAAAAACATTATGCGCCGAACAGTCTCACTATCATAACAAGGAAGGACAATGTTTACCGTAACCACTTGAATTATACTATGTTAGTTTCACATCTGCTTCAAAGAGATCAGATAAAAAATTATATTTATTATGGAAACTGAAGATATGCTTTTGACAAATGTTCACGTAAGTGATTAACTAAATGACGATGAGTTTTTCAATAATGATGGCCAATAAGCCGCAATCTCCTGGTATTTTCAAAGTCAACATAATCCCGATCATAGCTTAAATTCATTTGGATGTATGCCACAGTCATTTAAAACTGGACCTCTTGGATTCGTGCCATAGTGAAGAGCCTCGACAGACATTTCAACGATGTCAAATAATAATACCATGTACCGGGTGTTTCAAATTCGAACGTCATCATTGGGATCTCGGACATTGTAAGATAAACGAAGTCGCTTAAATGGTGTCAAAGTTGCGTGTTAACGTAATTAACAAAATACCGTTAAGAAAGTTTCGAAATTTAAAATACTTCCGGAGAGAGAGGAAAAAACCGAAGTTTTCCAAAATTGATTATACAAAATTGTTTTAATATTCTCTCGACTTTATTTGTGGTGGGATTTCAAAATAAATTGCACATTAACATAGTCATTGATCATATAGTCATTTGTTTTGCACACCAGAATTTATCCCAATATCATTTTTATTTTTTCCTGACTTTATTTGAGATTCAAAATAAATTGCATCTTGTCTTTGTATTTATCCTCCTCTAGTTCTATTCGAGGTTTCTTTTTTCGGCCAACACCAACTTTGTTTTTCACATGGACGTTATATTGGAATATTGTACATTTAAATGGACTTTTCAGTCCTAAATTCAATTCCTTCCAATGGTCATGAATTTGTTGTTGGACGAAAATTATAAGGAAATACAAAGGTATGGTAAGACCTGAACACAAAATGAAAATTTTATTGATGGTAATAATTATAATAATCATAAATACGCAGATGTGATGTTTAAAATGTTTTCCGATATTTTAGGTAAAGCCTCTGTACATTGCCAACTGTTTTATATCTATTTTTCTCTTCCAAACTCTGTTACTATGTTCAATGTGAAAAAGTGGCAATGTCAATGTACAATTTGTTTTAAAATCCCACTACAAATAAAGTCCGGGAAAAATTAAAACGATTTTGGGAAAATTCGATTTTTTCTGTTTCTCTCCGGAAGTCCTTTGACTTTCGAAACTTTCAACGTGACTTTTTGGTAGTAACCTAAATACCCAACTTTGAAACACCCGGTATAATGGCCATACCTGGGCCATCCAAAATAAAAAAGTTTTCTTAGAAATTTTTCTTAGAAATCGCTAGGTTAATAATGAAAGCAAAAAATACCTGGGTAAATAAAACTGACATTTGAAATTGTCAATCTCATTGTGTAAATTTGGCAACTGAACATTGTAAAACGACTGAGAAATAAGTAATTTTAAGGTGGCACGTCCCTTTTTTAGATTTTTTCAACTTGCAGCAGTATTCTAAATCCCTTTCATCTGATAATTTCATGGTGTATATAGAGATGACACAGATGACTAAAAAACAATGTTTTAATTTTTTTGTGCATTTTTTCTTTAATCCGACCTTGTTAACAAATATAAGTACTGTTCTGAAATTGTGTGTAAATATTCCTCTTTTATGGAAGAATAAAACGTGTGACTACTTTTGTTCTTATCACTTTTCCTTTTGGAAACATCTTTGCTATTTTTGAAAACTCAACTTGCTGCGAGACGAGGCTTCAAGAAAATACAAAGATTTTTCGAAAAGGAAAAGTGATAAGAACAAAAGTAATCACTCGTTTCATTCCTCCCCTATTTATATTTGTTAACATGATTGAAAAAAGAATGCGCAATAAAAAGCAGAAAAAATGCATTTTTTGACAAAAAATGAAAACATTGTTTTTTAGTCATTTCTATACACACCACGAAATTATCAGATGAAAAGGATTTAGAATACTGCTGCAAACAGGAAGTTGAAAAGAAATCTAAAAAAAAGGGACGTGCCACATTAATTACAGCTTCTCATGTAGTTCTCCAACTTGAATACTCCAGTAACCGTTTGTGATGAATCAATAAATAAAAAAATGAATAAGTTCTGTTGCATTCAATGATTTGAGTTTGACAGTAACTAGATCATTTAAAGAATTTGTAAAATAAGTTGGAAACGTCATGATCGTGATGTAAAATAGAACATTTGGTGATATATATAGTGTTAGTAATGAAAAAAGTTCTAAACATACCTCGATTGAGAAGGCCATTATTGGTCTCGCGCCTGAAATTATAAAAACGCTCGCCTAATTCTCAAATTAGGAAAGTAATATACTATTTATTTTATGTCAATGAGAATTTTTAACACGCATATCTAACCTCACTCAGAATAAAAAATATATAATAGAATAGATTTCTTAGCCATATCATGTAACGATACATATCACATATTGTGTTTAAAGCAAATGAATCTAAATTAATAACTATTTTAAAAGGACAAACGTGGACATCGGTATATAGTTCAGTTAACACACACCAAGCTACAGAAAGCTTCATACACATATTAAACGATAGCATCGCAAAATTTACATTCAAAATAAAAATAAAAAATAATGAAAGAACGAGAAAAAATTGGACCACCTTTGCTTTAGTAAACTCTGTAAACAAGAAAAACAAACTATATTACGAAATGACAAGAAAACCTACAGAAAACGATATAAAAAAATTCAAAGACTATAGAAACTTGTTGAATAACTCCCGCAGGGAACTGTTTTAGGCCCCATTTTATTCAACATCTACGTAAACGATTGATTCTCAATAGATTCGGGGGGTACAATGCTTTAAACTGGGATGCACTAAAACACAATATTGAAAACAACCTTAAAAATGTACTAGCATATTTTGACAGCAAATTATTAACAGTCAACGCTGCGAACACTACCTTTCTACCCTTCGCATCTCACAAGAATCATTTGCCTCCGTACACTGAAATTAACGACAAAACAGCAAATAGTACTTAACTAGTAAACGTCAAACCAGCGTTAAATACCTCGGAATTTATATTGATGAAAATCTAAGATGCAGTGGCGGCTCGTGCCAATTCCGTGAGGTAGTGCCAGAATGGAAGCCATAATTTTGAATCGATTCAAAATTGTAAAGAATAACTTATAACTTACCCCTGATAGTTAGTGGTCAAAGTTCTTGAGGTTCAATAAATCTATATGTCCAAAAAAAAATCAAAAATAAAACTATTTACACACGCGCACCAAATTATAAAACAAGTGTGGAGAAGTACCTATAACTATAGTTTTCTATATATGAGGTCCATTCTTCTTTCTTTTTTGGTAGCAAAGTTTTCGATTACCTTATTATTAAAATATTCAATGCCACTAACAAAATGTTTTTCTGCAGACAGCATTCCTAAAGCACTAAGCCTTTCTTCCTTCATTGTGTTTCTGAGGAAAGTTTTAATCCGTTTCAGCATTGAAAAAGAGCGTTCTGCTTCAGATGTTGACATCGGTATAGTGATTAAAATACTTAAGAGCTTAAGAGTTTCTTGAAACGTACAATTTAATCCTTCCTCGTTCAATAAAATGGATAGTGGAACAGCTCCAGAAGTAGTACTCAATTCTTCTCTCTGATATAATACTTGTAACTCAGTTTTAAGCCTGTTTTTGTCTAAAAATGAAAATTGTGTGCATGTGTCATTTAAATGTGCTTCAGGAAACTGATGTTTATAAACAGAAAACTTTTCAGACACAAATAAATTAGAAGCAATTAAATGTCCAGAAAAGTTAAATCTTGTTCTTATTTGCGATAATACTGCATCGCATATTTCTAACGCTTCCCGTTTTTTGCTGCCTTCTTCAACTTGCCTTTTTTTTCTTGCCGGTTCATCAGTTTCTCTCTGCACTCGTTCAATCTCGTCAATAATGCTATCCATTTGTTCTCGTATAGTTTGAATTGCTGCTTCAAAATTCTCTAAATCATTTTTGACCTTAACAGAATCGGTGCGTACTTTTTGTAATTGGTTAAAGACAATTTCAACATGTGGCATTATTTTATGGAAAATACTTAGCCAAAATACAAAATTTGTATCTTGCAGCTTTAATTTGTACCCACTGGCTTGATTAATCGACGAAGAATCGCGTGAAGTACTTTCTATATTGTCCATAACTTTAATCAGGTCTTTCCTATTTTCATAAACTGTATGAACACCTCGTGACTGAAAATTCCAACGTGTTTGGGAAGATCTTGGCAATCTGCGATTAACTATTTCATCCAAAATTTTTGTTCTTTGAGGAGACGTCGAAAAAAAAGAGCACAATCCAGATAAATTATGGAAAAA